CCTCCTCCACCTTCTCATCCTCTCCTCATCCTCATCTCATCCTCATCCTCATCTCATCATCATCATCATCATCATCATCATCATCATCATCATCATCATCATCATCATCATCATCATCATCATCATCATCATCATCATCATCATCATCATCATCATCATCATCCTCATCCTCGTCCTCATCCTCATCCTCATCCTCATGTGTGGCTCCCCAAAAATCTGTCGGGGATCTTCTGACCCGGGTCAGTCCAGACCCGGGCCAGACAGGCCCTGCAGAGTCCTGCAAAGTCCTGCAAGATCCTGCACCCAAACCCGGGTCCATGCGAAGGATCCTGCAGGATCCTGCACTCAGACCCGGGTGCAGTGCGACCCTGGCCCTGCAGGATCCTGCAAGGTCGGGTGCTCTGGCTGACCCCCGTTTGCCTTGACCCCCGCATCTTGAGCCCCGAGTCTGGACCGAGGAGGAGGAGGAGGAGGAGGAGGAGGAGGAGGAGAAGGAGGAGGAAGAGGGAGGAGGAGGAGGAGGAGGAGGAGGAGGAGAAGGAGGAGACATCGACCCCCGTCTCTTGAGCCCCGAGTCTGGACCCCTTCCCCAGGACGGGTTGCTCGTCCCAGACTGTTCTTGTCAGTGTCCCGGCGCCCGGCGGGGGCCCCAGGACGCCAAAAACGGTGACAAAAATCACCGTCTTGAGTGGTTCGAAGGGTTACAGGTCTGGGCACCCCCCCTTTGCGGGTCTCTCCCTCGCCCGACCCGAGCAGGGCAGCGGCATCGGTATCCTTTCCGTAGACGAGCGCGTTCCACTACTCGCAAAGTAATTACTCGCAAATGACCTGGATCCGCCGCGGGGGATCCACGATATATTACACGACGGCGGACGTATGGTTTTTCGGGCGTTTGCGAGTAGGCACTCTGCGAGTAGTGGAACGCGTTCGGTGATTCCTCTTGGCCGCCCCAGCCACTCCCAGACTGTTTCTTGACGGTCCAGGGGCCCAGCGAGAGCGGAAAGGACGAAGAAAACGCCGTCTCGGTTCTTGACAATCCGTTGGAGGGCTTGGGCTTTTCTTTTGCACGGGCAATCCTCCTCCTCCTCCTCCTCCTCCTCCTCCTCCTCCTCTCCTCCTCCTCCTTCTGTAGGGGCGCCCCGCAATCTTACGGCGCGCTGCAGGTGTCGGTGCGGAGCGTCGGACCCCGAGGGGGTCTCTTATGCATGCGAGCGGGGGCCCCATCCGACAACATCCCCTCGGTCCGCATGTAGCCATATGCTTGCGATTCCGGGTGCGCGCGCTCTCTTCGAGGCACTCCAAGCCCGACCCATACTGAATTCACGAATTCCTCCAAACTGTGTCAACCGTCTGTCCTCTGCACCCCCCCTCGTATACCACTGCCTCAGAACGGAGGGGCAGTGGACTCCAAGACCACAGCCCCCCCCCCCCTCGAAGTCCCCAGGGGTCCTCCTCCTCCTCCTCCTCCTCCTCCTCCTCCTCCTCCTCCTCCTCCTCCTCCTCCTCCTCCTCCTCCTCCTCCTCCCCCTCCCTCCTCCTCGTAGAAATCGGGGTCCGTCGGCTCCCGCCGAGGTGGGGCCCCACCCCTCGGGGCCCCGCCGCGGAGCCGCCGACGGCCCCGGGGAACCCCCCGCCGACCCCTGCCCCCTGGCAGGTGGCCCCGCGTCCCGGACCCACTCCGGATGGCCCCCGGGGGGCCGAGAACGGCCTTGGGGGGGGGCCGGGAACGGCCCCTTTGGGCCAGGTCGGGGGCCTGCCCCCCATACAGGGGGATTTTCTGGACGAAAAATTGAAAAATACTTTTTAAAAAATTATCAAACCATGCTCAAACAATAGTCCCCTGACTATGGTTTGTTTGGCTACTTTTGAACATTCCCCCTGGAGGGGGACAGGCCCGACTTAACCCTTGGGGCCTCCCATGTACCATCTGGTTGACTCTTGCGAACCGGCGCTGATCGACGCCAGTTGACGCGTTGACACTCGTCGACGCCGCATCGGCGCCAATCGACGCCCATCGACGCCCATCGGCGCTAGATCGACCGACGCTACCTCATCGATTGCCAGACGCTCATCGACGCTGGCGCACTCTCCAGATGGAACTACGAGGGCACACGAGGCTCCCCAAGATTGGCTACGTACCGAGAAACCCAGGCACCAAAACCGCGGCGAGGAAAAGCAAAACATCTCGTCGGAGGCCTGGGCTCTTTTTCCCCACAACAGCCGGGCGCCGTGCTTGCCAGGTCCCGCGGCTGCCAGGGCGCGCCCGCCGCCAGCAGCCGCACCGGCGCGGCCGACGCCTGCGCGA